AAAAAAAAAAAAATCTTTCCACTTCAACACGATCCGATTCTCTGACTGCCCATGTGGCCACTACAGTAGGTCAGGTTCTCATGTTTTCATGTGTGTACAAAAGATATTTTCATTTTAATAACCTAAGCAATAAAAACCGGATTATTTCATTTATTTGTGCAATTTTTCTATAGTATCTCACAGGAGCTTCAATGTTTTGCTAATGTGCTTCAGTTTTTAAATATTAGGTTCGCAAAGTCTTGATAAAAGATGATGGTGACACTTTAAGGCGAAATTTCTCCCAAATATTTTACCCAAAGATCTGCAGGTATAAATGTCTTGTAAGATTTATTTTTTTTCTCTCTCTCTTTTCCTCTTTCATGGTGTTAATATGTGCAATAAAATAAGGTGATTTTGAATGTTTTACTAACCAGAAGTGCATTGTGTGGAAGGAACAACTTAGGACAGCATCCCACATCTAGTTCTCCTGTCTTTCTTTTTGTAATATTAAAAAAATATGTCTATATATCAACCATAATGAAATATGTGTGGATATTCAGAGAAACGGAGCCATCTTAAAGAGATTTCATTTTGTCTTTCAGCAAAGAATGACAGCATTCCTTCTCTTAGCGCTCTGATGTATTCCCACAAAGCTTGGCATTTAGACCTGTTGATGATAACAGTCCAAATGGTCCATTTTGTTTTGGGTCTGGAGAATTTTCTGTCCATGTCCTTCTAAAAAGACAGAAGAATACAGAAACACATCTCCCATGACGGAAATCTTTTTCGAAATGGCCCAGCGCTGACATGACTTGCACCTTTCTGCGGTTTTTTTATGATTTCTAAATAGTTGTCGGCCAATTTTAAAGGACTTTGCTGTTGCGTAGGTTTGTTCGGTAGTAACCGATTCAATACAACTTTAAATAACATAAAATAAGTAATAAAATGTTAATAATAACAACTAGTAAGCCTTATTTTCGTGCACAAAATGCTGAACTCGGTGGAGAATTGTTGGAATTTATGGATTAATAATCACACTTTCAAGATATTGATCCAAATCCCAATTGGATGTTAGAAAACCTGAACTACTTTAAACTGATATCTGTGAGAATTTCATCGGTGAAATGTTCTCACCTAAAAGCTGAAAAGCTGTCAGACACTTCTGGTCAAAATGATTTCACTCGGTGCTGTTTAAAGATCCAAAGTCTTCTGCGTTTTGCAGAAACGCTCCAGACACAAGAAATATTCAACATCTAATAAATTGATCATGGTTTTGGATTTCTCAGTAGGCAAAGAGAAGAATATTGCATTTTAATGAGCTGTTTTTAAAGCAAACATCACATCGGATACAAGTGAAAATTCAAAGCAGAGTGTTTTCCCGCACCTGCTAACATGACTAGAAGGGAATCTCAAAACGCTGATGTGTCTGTAGGAATGCTTATCAATTAATCATGGTAGCAGCTTGTGGTTGAGCAGCTTGGTGACATTTAGTTTGGAAAGGGCAACTATAAAAGGCTGCATGTAGAAAAACCTCCATGAAAAACACGATGTTTCAGAGCGCAATCAGGACTGATTATACCTCTAATAAGTCATTTCATTCAACTCAGTCAGATGAACATCGGCTTTTCTGAGAGGAACTTACTGCTCACTAGAAAAAAAAAAATTGCAAAAATTAACATTTTCATATTTTATTTTGCAATCACAAACTTCGATGTATTTAGAAAATTGTATGTGAGAGAACACAAAGTAGTGCGTAACAAAGAAGAGGAAATAATTACAAATAGTCAAACAAAAATATTTCTTAAGCCTTAAAAAGAAGTGAAGTGTAATTAATGTTTAAACTAAGGCAGTGTTCAGAACCTTGATTTACATACGTTTTGCTTCTCCAACTCCAGCCACTACTTTTATATGCATCCCTGTTCCAACATCTGAATAAAACGAATGAGTGATTATCTGGTCTGTAAATCAGACACTTGAGTCAGGTGTGTTTTTGAGCAGGAACGCATCAAAAAAGTTGCAGGAATGTGGCTGAAGTCGGAGATCCCTGGAGGTTCCAGCGAAGATGTGTCTCTGCTTTAACGCACTCGAATCTAATAATGGAGTCATTAGCAGGACTGTGTTAAACTTGATTGGATGCTGAAGAGGTAATCAGACATTTAGCTTGATGTGTTGAAATGGGGGCCGGTATCCTGCAACCATCGATGATGTGTCTGACACCCTCTGAGGTGATCGACTCCGATCAGAAATATGTGTTGGAACTACAAAAAAAAAACACATACTGATGCTGATATAAAAAGTGTTTGTTGTTTTTATTTCACACGTATACCTGATTTTGTTTTTCTTGACGGTAGCCGTTTGGCTTTTTAATAATCGCCCCCGTCTCTGAACACTTAAGTTAGGACGGCTCTGAGTCTTTCGGATTAAAAGTCCAGTTTTCCATGACAACCTTTCTTATTTCAGAGCTGACCTTTATGAATTCAGTTATGGTATAATTTTGTCAAACTGGTATTTTTTTCACCTCACTGCTTGCTGGGTTTTCTCTCCCTTTGTGTGCATTACAAAGTATTCACTTCTTTGGATATTTTCCCCTTTTATTGCTGCATATCAATCAACAAAATTTGGTTTTGACAAAAAAAAAAAAGTGAAAACTGATTTCTACAAAATAATAATTAAAAATATTGAACATAAAATAGATAATTGCATAAATATTCACCTCCATATTTACTATATCTTCCTTTGGATGCAGCTACAGAGTCTGTGTGGATAAGTCTGAGTCAGGTTTGCATTTGCATCCTCAATTTTTCCTTGTAAATATTTCCAAGCTCTGTCAGGTTTTGTAGGGATTGGCTGTGTGAACTGTCCTTGTCAGGCCCAGCCACAAATGCTCTATCAAATTGAGGTCTGAGCTTTGACTGGGCCACTCTAGTACCTCCAGCTTGTTGTCTTCAACCCAGTGTAGCTTCAGCTGGACACTTTGGCTCATTGTCTTGCTGGAAAATAAAAGTTCTCTGAAGCAGATTATCCTCCAGGATTTTCCTGTGTTTTGCTTCATTTGTTTTATTTTCTACCTTTCCAAGCCTTCTGAGAAGCGTCTCTGCATCATGATGCTGCCACCACTATGCTCCACTGTTGTAATGGTTAAACTCACTTGACACACACTCGCTACACTCGGATGATCTTTATTCTTCTCATTGTGAGACTACAAACACCACTTGGCTGGACCTCAGTTGAAATCGGTCAGTCACTTTAAAGGAGAGGAATGTTTATTCAATTATGTTTGTCATTATTTTTGAAGAAACCAGTTTTCACTTTGACACTAAATGTTTTTTTTTGTTTTTTGTCTGAATATTTTTTGTAAACACTGTCAATGCGCGCGCAGCCATAACTGAGCAGCTGTAAATCTGGAAACTGTTGCACGGCTTAAAAGTGACTTCCAAGATTAACTGACTTTACAGATTCAACTGAAACTGCTCCGTCAAAATCTATTCATTGCCCAGGATCCACAAGGAAATGCATTTTTGTGAAGGTCTGGACTACAGCCTAGCAGCTGGTGACCTTTGACCCTGACCAGCTCATTGTAGCTTTTGGCTATCTGCTCCACACTCAAATCTTTTACAGCTTCCTGTCAACTCTGAGCAGCTTTTCTGTCCCTCCTAAAGATCTGGCTGCCCACAGCACGATGCTGCCACCGCCGCCACGTCTCAGAATGTGGATGATGTGATCAGTGACATGTGGTTTCAGTTTCCATGGAGGCCAAAAAGTTAAATCATGTAACGAGAGCATCTTCTACCACATGAGGATTTTTCATTACTTTCTCTCAGAAATTGCTTTGTTTACAAGTTTAATCTTGACTTGTCTGCTGCGTTCCTCGGTTTCCATAAAACTGTTTGTTTACTAGTGCTTTGTATGCATTATTGTATTGGTTTTTATTTAGGGGTATCAGACTAAAGGGTAGTGAAAACAAATGCACATTTTAGAAGTATGAAAACATTTATCCTTTTCCTCCCACCTCATTACTACACACCACTTTTGTTTTTTTTTGATAAAGTTATATTAAAACACATTGAAGTTTGTGACAACAACCAAATCTGCCAAGGTTAAAAAGTGCATTTTAAAAAAATTATATATACATTTTTACATTTCATGTTATTTATTTATTTAATCTCTGTGACTGTTGAGGTTGTTGGTTCATTAAAACTGAAAGTGCGAACTCTACTTGTGTCTGTGCCATATAGCTGCATGGACACTTCTTCAAAGACGTGGCTGCCGCATCAGGGTCAGTTTGGCTTGGTTGGTCAAGCGGAGGTTTGCTGTGGTGGACCGGGAGTTTTGACGCCAAGTGAGTCAGTCCAGACACGAACCCGTCTGCTTCTCTGCTCCTGTCAGCTTTGTGTCGTTGCCCAGCCTCGTCCTCCAGTCCGTGCCTTGTGGTCCGCTGAGGTTTTTCTCTATCTGTGTTTTTATATGTATTCGCAAGGCTGCTGTTTGCTCTGTTTTCAGTGGTGAAAGGTTTTTAATGCCTGTCTGACTTCTGCTTTTCATGTCATGACTTTTCAGTCTTTTTTTTTTTTTTTTTTTTTTCAGAAAAACTCCCTTTGTGTATTGAAGTTTGTTTTTTTTTATATACCCTTTTCCCTGTATCCTCCACTGGAGCGTCACGTTTCCTCTGAGCCCCACATCGTCAGACTCCTTCTGTTTTATGTTACCATCCTCTGGGTTAGATAGTGCCATTCCCTTTTTACATTCTCTTTAATAGACTCCAAGTCTTCCTTCTCCCATCCGTGGATTAAAACGTCGTCTTCAGTTGGCTCCAGGACAGTCGACGCAGCATATAAACCTGTTGTTTTGTAATATCAAAGCATTAAAAATACCAGTTAAAAATGAAAGACAGAAACAAACTAGATACTGTTTGTTTGCTTCCAGCTACTCTGGGAATTTACCTTGTTTGAGCTGCATTTCGGTGATGTAATCCAGCAGGATGGATGTCGGGAGCCTCTTAACTCATACCAGAGTTTAGGAATCTTACTGCCGGTGGCGCCACCTGGGGGAGGGGGCAACAACAAACAACACAATGCTTGTAGTCAGAAAGAATGAACAGCGTTAAAAACGTTCTGAATTACTTGCAATAAGACTTTATTTTCTGGGTGTTTACTTCATCCTTTCTGTCTCTCTCTGCTCCCCATGTTTCACAATGTGATTTTCAAGCTAATGTTAGCATAGCTACTATTACTACTTAATAAAACATTCAATATTTTATTGTACTACAGTGATGGTTGAGGAGGAGAGCGGTGCAAAACTCACCTTGACCTTTCACGTTTCAGACAAAAGTTAAACGATGGAACAAAATATTTATTTAAAACAGATCAGCAAGAAATTCTAATGATTTACTAAATGCATTACACATTCATGGGTTAAAGAGAGACGTTTTGATGTGTTGCACTATTGTTTGGTTTATTATTTTATGTTTTATCCATTTCTTTATCCACTTTTTAACGCTCATCTCTGTGCAACATCATAACAAGACCTCCGTTGATCTGTTGCTGCTTGTAGCTTTGAGGTTCCTCCTCCTCCCGTATCTGGTCGTCCCCTCGGTACGTCTGTAGAGTCACGCCTGCTTGACTCCACTTACTTCATTTGGATCCATCCATTCACAAGCACAGTAATGACGCTTCTAAATACATTAGCAGAAATGAAGGTAGTTTGATGGAGAGCAGTGCACACGCTAGCAAGCATGTTCCTATGGCAACGAGGCCACACTCCCCTTTGGCTGGAGCTCACACACACACACACACGCACACACGCACACACACACACACACACACACACACAGAAGCATAGAAACAGGCAGGAGGAAGACAGGAATGCTGAAAAAACACATGATAGAAAACGAGTTCTGCTTATTTATTCAGGCTGCTGTGGATTTTCACCGGAGCTCTCGCTCAGGAAATGCTGGTCACAAAACGCTGCAAGTCCAAACTTTTTTTTGTTTTGTTTTGTGTTTGTGAGCTTAGCCAGTTTTCTCAAAAAGCTTGTCAGGATTCAGACTGATTGCAGTTTTTTTTTTTTTTTCTTTCTGTGGATCTCTCCCGCCCACAGTGCCCCCTCTTCCTGAACCCCTCCACCCACCACTTCTTTTAAATCCCGCTGCTCTGCCTCTTCTGTGCAGTGTGCATTTACCTCGTTACAGTGATGTTTCTAAACATAGCGCCGGAGTGGCTCCGACTACAGCCAGAGGTGGAGCTTTTTTTTTAAATTTATATAAATATAATCGTCCAACTTACTTTCTTTAAAAGTCACTGTTTTGATGTGCAGCACGCTCCATGCTGTCAGTATTATGCTCTCTTTTGGCACTAGAGTAGCATTTGGTTTCCTCCCTGGTTCGAGCATCGAGTTAGGATCATTGATCAATCCTACTTTCACAATCTCTTTTGATTTTTTTTTTTTTTTTTAGAATATTGTGTCCTTTATTATGCTAATCTGATCTTGTAAGTTTTCTACCGGCCTTAAACTCTGTCTGACCTTTAAAAAAATGTTTATTATTTCATAGTGAACCACTTTTGTTTGGCATCCTTATTCTGCTAATCTGTTTTCCATTTGCTGCTAAAATCCATCAAAGTCTCTTGGTATTTCAAAGAGTTCATGATCCCTTGAAACTACGTTTGACAGTTTTATGTTTAACCTCACCACACTATTGCACCTCTGTGTTTTGTTTTGGAAGACTGTTATCACAAAACTGGACAGTTCAAGATGTTTTCACATCCATGTTTACTTCTTCACATTAGGGGTTTGTTACCCTTTGAGGGTTTTGTTTAGAATGTAAAAGGCTCTGCAAGATGCAATCCCTTCACGTTTCTTCCTCTAAACGGCTGCGGCGCGTTTGGCATCCACAATTTCAGTCTGTGTTTTGTAAATCGCAGCTCATACTAAAACCCCCTGGAGTGTTGCTGCTGGCCTGTCAAAGAGCCACTAAGTGGTTGCCAGGCGGTTTTCTTCCTGTCAGTCATGCCGATTGGACAGCTCTGTTCATTATGCGGTTTTAACTTTCAGCACATTTGACCTATTTGTTTGGTTTCAAATTGTAAAGATTGCTGAGTTTAATATGGAGAATAGCCACTTTAGTCTGAGTTATTCAAGACTGGAGTTCAGGATAAAAAAAATCCCACACAAGTGGAAAAACACTTTTATTCTTTGTTTTTTGTCCAAACTTCGTGGTATCTCTTCTGAAACTTCTGCACCAGAAGTGGATGTATAACACTTTTTACTCTGCTTAAGCACATTTATTTGGATACCTGCAGTGACTACCCACTCAAACTGAGACGTAACACCAAGCTGTCACTTTGAATGGGCCAACTTGGTCTAAAAATATGGCTTGCAGCGAGCCATTCAGATTCGACGCGGCTCAGTTTTGACAGGTAATTTTCCGCTTTTTTTTTTTTTTTTTTTCCACGTCTAGCCAAATCTTCAACATCACAACACATCCAGATGTAGAAACAGGAGCTTCAAATCATTACTAGTCTTCACACAAAGTAAGTTAACAAACTGCGTTCAGGTGTGTGCAGGCGTTTTCCTGCCGTTGCTGTTTTCAGTGGTCATTAAATAAGGAGTAGAAAATAAATAAAGTGGTAGTTATTTGATGTGTCAGCTTTCTGAATGTAGTTCAAAGCAGGATTAACACTCACTCATTGTACTTTAATATTCAAACCTGCTCAAGCCGTTGCAAATAATTGCACATGAAGTATTTTAGTGGATAATTACTATATTAGTTATAGAGAACCTAATATTCAGTAGAGCTGTTCAGGTAAAATCCATAACAATAGAACATAATTACAAAGCATTTTTAAAAAAAATAAAATCTCTACAGTGATTTTCATTAAGTTACTTGACCTCTTTTCAAATCTAAAGCTTCGGCTGTTTAGCTTGAATCTCAGCTTTGAATTAATTATCACAAAATCTATTTCGGCTTAATTTTTGTTTAATAAATAATCACAGCGTAAGACTTGTGGTTTGTTTTTTCTACCCCTGAGTTTAGATTTAAATCACTTTAGAACCTTGAAAAACCTGGATCATTTAAACTGAAGAACAACAAAATAAATATAGGTTGTTTTATACCATGAAAGTTTGGAAAACACTGAAATCCTAAACGTAAAACTTATTGACATTGTAGTTCAGATGAGCTTTTAAATTTATTATCCTTATATCTTCAGAGGATTGAATAAATAATTAAGATTAGTTTTGATAACAAACAAAAAGTTTTAATAGTTCTTTCTTTCAGATTTTATTCTGCTTTTGGCTTCTTTTTTTCATCTTTGATTCTCACAAACTCCTCTTTTGACCTCGCTGATATTTAAGACTTTTGAGATACCTTTGCTACAAATAAGCTCATGTAACCTAAGAAAACACAAATACAAAGCTACCTCCTTTTTTGTTACAGAAGCTGTTTATTGCAAAGACTTTATATTTAAAGAATTGACATTGCTCACTTTTCATCTCTAAATGACAACGTCCTGCATTGTCCAATTTCAGTTTCTCATCATTAAATTTAAGGGTTTCACAGTTTATTTTCGTCATAAAATGCTGAATCATTTTAGCAACAACCCAACAGTGACGTTCACACACCTGCATTGATTTTAACACCTCAGATTGTTGACTGATTTCAGGTTTAACAGGGTTTTTTTTTCCAGTGACAGTCGAGCTCTTCCAACTCTTTTCATCAGACTTTTTTTTTTTTTTTTACATAACTGGTGGCAAGATTCTGGCTTGGAGAGAAATATGAAGCTGTTGTGCGGCACGTATCTGCAGAAACTGTGAAATGAATTTGATAAATCAGTGATCTATGTGCTTTCTAATTTTAGCTAGGCCATTAGCAAATTTATTATGTTAGGAGACCAAAGTAATGCTTATCTAGCCACATGCAAGTGTTTGAGAAAATTTTCTTGACAGTAGTCTAAACTGGAGCGAATTAATTTGTGTTTATAAGTATTCTAAGTATATTACTCGCATTGTGTATGTAATTGGGTAGGGGGTGTACAGCTGACTTTGTGCTAGAGATCTAGGAAGCTAAATTAAATTTTGATGCCACATTTTTCTGTTTTTATCATTAAAATTGCCTGACCATCCTCAGATAAAACTTCAATGCTCTAGACACCGTTTATGATTTTTCTCAATTTTTTTACTAGTTATTTACTGAATTACTTATAAAACAAGGCTAATCTCTGCCATACCAGTGATATTGCGCATGCAGCATGACGAGGGGAGTAAATCTTCACTAGTGCAGACTGAGTGTCTGCATAAAGTTGAATGAGATTAAATCATTTCTTTGGGTCATTATAAGTCACTTAAAGCTACTGATACAACAAACAGATAGTGTGATAGTGCTATAAGTATTTTTATATCTGGTTTGGGTTTACATACAAGTGTAAGTCTGTATTATAGAGCTTAAGAGAGGCACAATTCACCTCACAGCATCTCAGGCCAGCTCAAATGGGCAACAGCAGCAAACAGAATCACAAACAGAAAGATGTATAATATTTGGGCTATTTTAAAGCAACGTCTTAATACTTATAATTGCAATGAACTACAGTTCAATCTATTCGCGGATAAGAAATGGGTACGGAGAACACGTGTTCCACCGTGGTCTCCAGAGGCCTTTAGCTCCCAGAGGAAAATTTGTCAAACATCCAAGAGGTGGGTGTTGCTGGCAAATCTCATCAAAAACAAACAGAAAATCCAACATCATTTATTAGAAAAACCCTCAAGATTCGTGCAAACTCAACATCTGGCTAAGATATGTGGGAGTCGCAGCCAACTATATGGGGGTAGTTTTTGTAGGCGTCGGTCACAATGCAGTTAGAAAACCACTCATGTGACTGTTGTGCCTCGAGAAAACGTTAGTTGTCTCAATTATTCATAGTTTGTGTTGTCGTTTATTGCTTTTGTCTCTGTTCATTAATTCTGAGAGAACATTGTGTAATGTATACGATTCCAGAAATAAAGAGTGAAAAAAGCAAAGTTGTGCATCTGTCAACACTGTGATTCATAATAGCCAACAACATATAAATATTCGTAATGGAACCTAATGACAAAATCCGTAGCAGATGCTGAAATCAAACAGTTTTCCTCATACAAAGAAATCAAAACAGAATAGCTTCTAAATCAAGTTTTGTGTGACACAGAACTGAACATAATTTAGCAAAGCCTCTTTTGTTGTCCACCAATCTTTATTTATTTCCATAGATTTTCAATTGAATTCAAGACACGTTATTGACTGGGAGAGTCCAGCAGTTTTATTCTCTGAAATCAAAGTTTATATTTGGCTTTTGGATTCTTATAAAGAATGTCCCTGTACAATTTTCTTTTCATCCTTCCTTTAATTAGATGAACTCTGTCATTGCGGATCAGTGGAGAAAGTAGTTGTCACACAATCTAAAAGTTGTTTTAGTTCCAGCTTCCTGTGTGCCTTTGGGCACTCCAAGTTGCAAACCGAGCTTTCCATCACGTAAAAAATAAAAGTGAAAGTAATATAACTGTCAATTCAGCTGGGTGAAAATGATACTAGATTTAAAGCGCTAAGGTTCATAAGATTGGATATACATTATGTAAATTCAGCCCATGTCCCACTTTTCTTCAATCACATCCAGAGTTATATTTCCTGATGATTTGACCAGACTATTCCATATCCTCCCAATATTTCCGACGTCTCGTCAAAATGTTGCGTAGCAAACTGGAAACTAGTCTCAACATAGTTTTTGTGCAGCGTGCGTAGAAAAACCACATTGGGTGAGAAATTTTGATATGTGGCCATGACCAGTTCCATCAGTATGTTTTGCAATGATAGGGGGGTTTGAAGGTCTTGAGAGGTCTTTGCTTTTAATCATAATGAGATGCTCCTTTTGTGAAAGCATGGTAATGAGAAACCTTTTTATAGCCCATCAGACCGAGCTGGGCGACAATTTAATTTGTATCTGCAAAATAATTTGCAGATGAGAGCAGAAATGCATTCGAAATACTGACAAAAATCAGCTACTCTTGGCTTTTTCTTTGCCTTTGTAGAGCTTATTTTGATATGTTCACTATTACCTGTGTCATTCCTTTATTAAACATAAACTAATTTAATTCACTTCAGTTTATTTACATAGCGCTAATTCAAAACAAATGTTATCTTGAGGCGCTTTATAAGCAAGTCATTCCAATTCAGTCACACATGCATTATAATTAATCAAACATTGCGATAAGTTTGGTTAATTATTTAACTTAATTTAAGAAGTGTTCTATCTATTGAGACCCAGCAAGTTGCACTAAATTTTGTGAACTTATGTTTACACTAAGTTCACAAAGTAACACTTAAAGTAACAAATGCATGGATCAGTTTTTCTTCCACATTCACTCCTGGAAAAGATATTTCTAAATCTGGCAATATTCCTGAGGTGAAAAGAAGGAAATTCTTTTCATTTAATATAAATTTATAGGTGTATTTGTTTTTATTCCTGAGTGGATTTTCACTCAGGGTCATTATCAACGTCTGGCTTCAATTTGCATTTTCAATAATTACAATTTTTGCACTGCAATTTGAATTCAAAAGCTACATTACCAGAGGAGATTGATAGAAAATATATCTTAAGGTAACCTAATTGACCTACATTGCGGATTGGAGCCATCAGAAAAAGAGCAAATTGTTTTCCCATAATTGCTGGTTAGCTGCTATCATGAACTGTGTTTGCTAGATGGAATATGGCAATTACAGACACTTCCATGTGACATGAATGCAGTATCTGCCCCAGCAGGCCTGTCTGTGAGTCACTGCAGGCCTGTTGTTGTTAGATGCTCCAGACCAGTCACACCGAGATCCCATGTTTGTGGCCTGTGACTGGAAATACACCATTCAAGCTAGAGTGCAACATCAACAAAACAGGCAGCCACAATGAAATCTATTTCAGTCTTACTCAGATCTATTACCTGAATAGCATTTACCTAAGTATTATTTAGTTTTTTGGGGGTTAAAGATATATAATGCATGTAGCTGCTTGACTGCACTTTGCTAAAATGGACACATTTAGTTGCATTTTGTCAGTAATAATCCAACCCAGGTGAAACCTGTCTGTTTTTCTCTGGGAATTTGGGCCAGAATTTCATTTTTGACTCTGCAGTTTTCTCCAGAGAACCCAAAACTCCGATAACGCTGTGAGCAAATGAAACGGAGAGAGAAGGTTAACAGCTTCTATGCTAGGTGCAAAAACTTGATCATGTCGAATCTTGAGATTTGTTTTTAATAAGACCCGAGGACAGGGACTTCCTTCGCTACTTTTGTGGTTTAAAACCCCCCACTCCTCTATACTGATACTCTCCAAATATCATATTTAGTTCATCTTAATATGCCAGTTTTTGTGGGAATAGTTCTCTAGGGATTTAAATAAT